CCTTTTTATAGATGGGCACTATATTTGCCCTTTTCCAGTCTTCTGGAATCTCTCCCGTCTCCCATGACTTTCCAAAGATTGGAAAGGTTGGATATTAGGAAACAATATTTCACTAGGAGGGTGGTGAAGCACTGGAATGCGTTACCTAGGGTGGTGGTGGAGTCTCCTTCCTTGGAGGTTTTTAAGGCCCGGCTTGACAAAGCCCTGGCTGGGATGATTTAGTTGGGAATTGGCCCGGCTTTGAGCAGGGGGTTGGACTAGATGACATCCTGAGGTCCCTTCCAACCCTGATATTCTATGATTCTATGAGTATTTTCAAGAATTACATTGCATAAGCACTTCCCTTTGTAACCGTTCTACATTTCCATCTGTAGCAAGCTGAATTTGGCTGAAGGCCACAGCAATTGAGTTCTCCCCATCAAAGTTTCTTTCTCACAACAACCCAGGTTCTCCTCAAAGTTCTGATGGCAAAATTCAAACATATTGTGATGTATGGTAATTCTGTTCAAAATTAAACAAACAGCTCTTGCTATAGTTTCCTCCACTCAGAGGTTCCTGCTAGGTTGCCATACCCTCTCAACAGATCTGGTGGTTAAAGACTACGTGAGCAGATAGAGTTTTCCCTGACTCTGGGAAAGACTAACTAGCTTTTTCTAGTTTCCTCATCACTCTTCCCAAGATGCCTTTTTGTAGAGGTTGAGAAATCCCATTTTCCCTGGGACTACATGTCCCAGGATTCTTTGTGCATGAAAGCGTGGGGAGCATTGAGTCACCTAAACTTCAAGGCTCTGGGCCTGAGCCCAACACAGAATTAGCAGCCTGCAACCACCAACTACATGCTCAGACCTCTCTCTATGGTAATTTTCAGATATCACTCTTAGAATGGGAGTCCCGGAGCCTTCCCTCCTCAGTCTTAAAGGACCATTATATCCCATTACCTGATCTCATCTGAATAGCTCAATTGAGTGACTTACCCAACACCTACCAAAGATGAGGGCTACCTTTATGAGAGTTAATCATAGTAGAATGCAGTAATACTTGTTACACAGGATTAACAGCTGAAAGAATTATCCACATTTATTTCAGTTCCTCAAGGAGTTTTTCTGCTATTTGTAGCACAGCTTTGCAACTTAAGAGGTCTGTGCAAATATATAGCCAGAAATCATTCAACATGCCTACAGTAAGTCGGATAGGCCTTTAAATAACCTCAGAATTAAAGACATGGGCATTTTGAGGCTTTCACATCAGAGTACTCAGTGCACATGCACATCCTTTAACTTTAAATTACCTTTTAATGCTTCACCAATACTAAATACAATATCTTAACCAAAGTATTCTGCATCTTGGATATTCTTCTTCCTCTAAAAAGTTAAAAAACCCTCTATATATCCCTTTACCAATATTTTCATTCTTTTAATGAGCTATGGTTTAGAATATTCAGCTGTATAAATGAATACTATGTACTTATAGTATATATGAACACTATGTACTTATATGGACAGTATGGTAAAGTAAATAGCTTTTACAGTTCATATAAGTAATCTAAAAATTGGATATGTCCTACATAACTTGATCACTATAAAACAGCCCTGAAGTTTTCAGTATGATTTTGTTCAGTTTTCAATTAAGAACCTACCATTATGAGTCAAATAATTTGGTTTACCCTTGGGTAGTCACTTAAGATTAGTTCAAAACAATTCAAGAAAATTTAAAAATCAAATTTAGCACTTCATAATTTGATTTGTTGGAAATTGACAAACAAAGCTTTAGAGTGATTTTTAAATAAATCATAATTAATTACATGTGCAAATGCATCAACTAAGTTTGGATGTGCAATTAAATAACTAATCACAGTTTGGAAAGGCTGAAAATTGCAATTGCATGCTGAAATAGACAACCATGCCCTCAGGCCTATCCAGGTGTTTCTGTTTACTCACTGAGGCAAGCAATGGTTTCTTTTAGAAGGAAGCACCACCTGTTGAAAACATACTAGTACACCTTTCATTCAAAATTAAATGCTTAATTGCTGTTTTTACTGATGGAATACAAGCACTTTTTTAAAAAGGGTAACCCAGAAAGTCTTCCTTGAGGATCAGCAACTGGAGACATGGTGGAGGTATGCAATGTATGTTTCATTAATTTCACATGATTAGAAAGGAATCTTCCTCTTCTCCCAGCCTCACTCCAAACCCCCATTTTATACCTTTGCAAGCCCATCAACTAAACAGCAAGTTGATTTCAGTAGTGAACATCTAAGACAGTTGATACAGCACTGGATCTGTTTCTGATATCACTTACACCAGTGGTAAATAGAAATATTCCTTACCTGTCAATTTTCTTCTATTCTATTCCAAATGAGTTTAGTATCTTCCTGCCAACAAACAGAAACAGCACATTCAGACTTTCAGAGATGTTGTCTCAAAACATCAAATTCATAGATTTTGAGGCCAGAAGGGGCCATTATGATCATCTAGTCTCACTTCAAAGTACTATTATTCCCTTCAGTGAGGCCAGGATTTGACACTTGGGTTTCTCTTCTTCTTCTCTGCTCGTTTTATTTATTGTTCTCTAACTTCTTCCTATATCTAAGTAGCTCTTTTCAAAAGATTAATAACCTTGCAAAAGCCATGATGTCAACTGGGTTACATGTCCAAGCATTAGTAGAAACACTTTTAAAAAAAAATATAGAAGACCTTTTAATGGATTACATTACTATGATTTTCCCAGGAATCCTCTACAGAAGACACTACAGTATCTATGAAAGAAATTGGGTTGAGAGACTCATCCATATGGAGAATGTAAAAAAGTTGACAGTACAGTAAATAATTACCTTATTTTTCTTCCCCCTACTTGCTTTTTATCTCTAATACTTGTGTTTCTGTGGTTTGTTTCTCCTTATCCTACATCAAAGAATGCTGTGATAAGTGGTCATAGTTAAGGTAAGTTATTTTGATTTTTATTATTTCGATTACTGCAGAGCCTAGAGGCTGCAACTGAGATCAAGGCCACATTGTAGTAGATGCTGTATATATATATTTTATGAGATATTCCCTGCCCCAAACAACTTACAATCTAAATAGATGCCGATATCTAACAAAGGTGTGACCTACACATTTATGACTCCTATTCAAGTTGCATTATCTGCTGGTATTCACCTTCTATGCTGAACATTGTGGTCCTAGCCCACCACTAGATTCAAACTGTAGTAATGATTAATTACACTTGTACATAAGTGTTTTGGCAGGTAGTCATTAGACTGGCTGACTGCTTTTTCAAAATTCTTTCAGTATATTTTAACTCACTGGGCTGGTTTAAGACCAAGATAAATATTTTTCCAATTCACTAAAACAAGCTGGTTTGGTGCTTCAGAATTCAAAAGGGACAAGTCTGGAAGCTGTAAACACAATTATACAGTAGGTGGACTGATGGTGGCTATGGACAATGATTATTCTCTTTGGAAGACATACAAGCAGTTGAATTATGGTTCTAATGAAATTGTCAATAGTTATCCTTTTATTAGAAGCTTGAAAGCTCTGCTTTATGAACTAGACCCGTCCAGCCCAGCCCCTGAGCTCCTGGCCCAGGAAGTTTGCCCCCGGCCCCTCCCTTGCTGTTCCCCCTCCTCTGCAGCCTCAGCTCGCTCTCTCTGCTGCCGGCGCAATGCTCTGGGTGGCGGGGCTGTGAGCTCCTGGGGCAACACAGCTGCTGTGTGGTGGTGGCAGCAGCATGGCCCGGATCCAGCTGGGCAGCAGCAGCTGTAGTGCCACCAGCCACCGGTGCTCCAGGCAGCGCGGTAAGGGGGCAGGAGCAGGGGAGGTTGGATAGAGGGCAGGGGAGTTCAGGGTGGTGGTCAGGGGGCGGGGGTGTGGATAGGGATCGGGGGGGGGGAATAGGGGGTTGAATGGGGGTAGTGGTTGGATGGGGTCCCAAGTGGGCAGTCAGGAAGGAGGGGGGTGGTTGGATGGGGCGGCAGGGGGCAGTCAGGGGCAGGGGTTCTGGGGACAGTCAGGGGACAGGGAGAAGGGGTGGTTATGGGGTAGGGGTTCCGGGGGAGGCCGTCAGGGAACAGGGGGGTTGGATGGGGCAGGAGTCCGGGGGGGGGGGGCAGATATGAGGTGGGGGCCAGGCCACGACCTCCTCCCCTAACCGGCCCTCCATACAATTTCCAAAACCCGATGCCGCCCTCAGGCCAAAAAGTTTGCCCGCCCCGAACTAGGTGGTAACAAAGAAAACAAAAATACTTTAAAATCTATTTATGAGAAAATGATAATTGGCCCAGATTTCATCTATGTGATGAAATAGGGTTGGTTTTTACCATTGAACAGTATAATAACCTATCAGGACTGGGGTTTTGTTGAGTTTTATATATTTATGTATTTTAAACAGTGTTCAGGCTTATTCCGTCCAAGTTGTGTCTCACACAACACATAGACAAAATGGTGATTGGTAGCCATGATTATGTGAAAAGATTGCAAAGTTTTAAAATAGTTGATGCTGCAGTGACACATTTATGGCACCATTATTGGCTGGTGAAGATTTAATTTATCATGAGCCTGGGCACTGGTCGCAACAGAACCAACAGTATGTGGTCCCATGGCATTGTTTGCTGTAGAACCAATGGCTTGCATTAGTGTAGCCCCATTTGGAGGAGGATCACAATTTAATCATGTAACCATTGTACTGGTGTTGGGCTTAGTTTTGTAGAGCAAGAAAACATACTGTTCTTTCAAATGTGTATGACTAATAAATATGTTGACCACATACTGAAACCAGTTTAAAGAACCTTAAACAGGTAAAAACCTCAGAACACATACCTCTCTGCAAGCAATTTATTTTATTGGAAAGCAAGACACTTAAAAGAGAGTGACAATTTTAGCAGTGTCTCCCTCCCACAGACCAGAAATCCTGCCCATTTGCTCAAGGACTATTCCAGATATAGCAGGACTAGGAAGACTGGAAGCACCTTCCCTGCCCCCATAATGAGACAATTGTTTTGAGTACAGCCAGTCTACTAGCTAGCTTTCCAGAGAGAGAAGAAAGAGCAAGACAGCTGGCTGCCCTCAAACACTGGGGGAAGAGGAAAGAAGGGAGTGAATGCCCACTAGTTCCTTCTTTCCCCATAGAGGCAAATGAGTGGAAAACTGCAGCCCAGGCTTGCTGCCAAAGAGAAATTTTGCAGAGAGGAGGGTCTTGGGTCACAGGAGGATCTTTTGGTAGATGCATGAGGAGACTCAGACAAAAGTTCACATTTGATGGTCCAAGTATCATCTGAACGAAAGGAACCCTTGGAAACAAATAGCATCTGAACAGGACTATTATCCCACTTACTATCCCTAGAACAAAATTCTGTTCATAGGTTTTGCTTTAGCCAAAAATCTGACTTCATTTACTTGCAAAACAGCTCACTACAATTTACATGCAGGTTCTTTGACAGCATTAACAATTGGGATATATACATCTAGGAATACAGGGTAGCATAGGTGTAAATTGGATGCAATTAACTCACTATATGTAAAGCAGACAGTTTGAGTAAGAAGACGTCATGGTTTTCTATAGGCACTTTCTGGCTAACCCCATAGTTTCAGGGTCAGATCATGTCTGGCTAGGTTCAGGTGCATAAAGGGTGTAAGAAATGAGGAGATCTGCCTCACTGCCATTGCACCTGGCACAGGGAACATCCACAATCCCTATCAGGAACAGAAGCACTGCTCCCAGCTAGCATTGTGGGTAACATGGGTGGGAAGGGCATTGTCCCACCCTCCTGAACCAGCCAGCAGAGCTGCTCTAGCACAGAGGACAATGCCAGTTGCACTTTCACTGGGTGACACTGTGGCTGCTCCAGCATGTACTTAAAGGCTAAATATGACCTTTAGGTATTGCATTCATGTGAACAGATTTTGCATACGCCTATTGTTGTGTAGAGCATGTGTATTGGGAGGAACTGTTCAATGAGTTGATGACAGTAGATCCAAAAGTCTAGGGTGACCAGATAGCAACTGTGAAAAAAACGGGACAGGAGGTAGGGGGTAATAGGCACCTATATAAGAAAAAGTCCCAAAAAACGGGACTGTCCCTTTAAAACCGGGACATCTGGGCACCCTACAATAGTCCAAAGAGAGGCACTGACATTTGCGGAGAGCAATCTAGGTTGTTTTGGTCACTCATTATTTGGCATGACATTAATCAATGTAAATAAGATCAGCAAGAGCAGACATGCAGTGAAAGGTGACTTTGGAACAGTGTACTGCCTGCCTGCCTGAAGATGTATCAAAAGCAACCACTTTGAGTTGGCAATGAAAGTAGCAAGTAAAATTATGAACAATTGCAAATGATACAGATTTTCAGGAAGTCTCAGTAGATAGAGAAAAGGACTGACACTGGAACACGTGGCTGGTATTACTAGGTTCATCAACATTAAGAATTCAAATCAGGATATTCCTTTGCCATAGCTGACACAGTCCTATCTGCTGAAAATGATAGGAACAACTGACTGGATGCCTCTAGAATATTATTCTGCAAGTATCTGACCTACAAGAAGTGCTCCCTGAAAGTAAAAGTGTTGATATCAAGGTCATTCAAATTGAAAGAAAGCAATACAGAAGACACAATTTTTAGGGCTTTAGCAGGAAAATTTCATCTAAAATATGTATAATCACTATGCTAATATACAGTTTACATGGCATCTTTTCATACATTTTGAATGGCAAGAGTATCTTTAACAAATTCAGTGATTTCAGCACATAAACAAAGTAGCCAAAAAGTTTATAAAAGTTTGCATGCCCGAGATATAGATGCCTAATGCCTGATGCATAAACTGCTTAGGGATTTGCACATGCATACAGCTTTGCAAGCATTTCATTTAATTTGCACCTGTGTAATCTGGACATGCATAAAAGTGTGAGAAAATTTTAAAAATGTGCTGATGTTCTTGAAAAAAGTGGATTTTACACACACACACACACACACACACACACAACAAATAGAACATATGAGCACCAATACAGTCTTTACAAATAGAAAATAATACCTAATTTCTTCGTACCTTTCCCTGATGTATTTC